ATTTTATTTTAATAAATTATACCAAGATGAATATATTGGATTAAATTATCTTTGGAAAAGAAGAGAAAACAAAAATAATTAGAAAATAAAAATACCTATGTTATTGGTGTGAGGAGAGAGAATTATGGCTTTTACTAAAAGTAGGAACTAGATAAAGAAAAAAAAAGACTTTCACGACTTTAAAAAGTATTAGAGCCAAAAAAGTCTGATTAGATAAAAAACAACTGTCAAAACTGTAAAAATCAGAAAAGTCTTCACAGTCTTATTGCCAATCGGCCCCTAGGTCAATTATTTTGGCTCTAGATAATACACGCAAATTAACGGTACAAGAAATTTTGAAAATTGCTCCATCAACTTTGATAAAGAAAAAAAAAACTCTTCAAAATTGCTCCATCAAGACTAACAAGAAAAAACTTATATTTTATTTAACTAAATTCGGTTAATGGAATTGATCATCCATCTTCAAAAAAGCCAAATGTATATATAAATATTTTTATTTTAAATATACATGATAGTTTTTTTTTTTTTTTATAAAATAGTTATAACAAACATAGATATAATTAGGGGTGGAAAATTTATGGATACGAATCGAATGTGTTTCGAAATATATATGAAAGCGAATTCAGATCTTTAAATGAACTTTAACTAGTAAATTCAGATTTGAGAACATATTTCTAATTTTGGAACCGATTTGATTTCAAATTCCATGTATCTTGCCCACCTTGGTTCTAATTATCTTGTATATTTTACACCTAATGTATTTCACACTAATTCTCAAAATAAGTAGAAACCCTAATCTTCTTTTATAACCATCTATTGACTATTGTGATAATGAAAAAGAACCTACCATAGTTGGTCCTGGACTTTCTAAAGCTACAAAAAATAAGTGAATTTTTGGAAAAAAAAAAAACATAAAACATAAAACTCTTTTAGAAACTTGAATTTGTCACCTCTTGATATCTCTTTTTCATGTAAAATGAGTTTGAACACGTAGTTATCTCTTTTTCATATAGACTAAACGTATATGATTTGTTTTTCAAGGCAATGATCAGACCGTTTACATTTGATTTAATATATAAATTGATAATAAAAAAAAGGTTTGAATTTGTTAAAAAGACTTAAAATTTTCAACCCATATTTTACTTACTTTTGTAATATAAACAACCGGTAAAGTAGACTAATGTATGTATTTGGGCCGCAAATCCTAAATATTTTTGCAATGAAAATCTATAGTTGATGCTACTTGGTGGAATTCAAATCTTCATCTAGACCTAGAGCTAAACCATTCACTACTTGAGTCCCGGACCACCGGACCAGCACGCTTTTAGGTTTATGTGTGTCAACTTTTGTTTAATTTTCAACGGTGTGTGTCACCTTCCAGAACCTAAATACATCCCACTCAGTTTTGTTTCTTGTCAATTATCCTTTAAGATATACCCAAGTAAAGAAGACCCCACTATCTCTCTCAATCATGGGGTAAGTTCCTAAAGCGAAGCCTCAAGTTTCTGTCTCCACTATTTAGCTTTTCTTTCCTAAACTTCTTTTGTTCTTGTGGATATTAAAAACAAAAAAATATCCATGATAAACACAAGCACTACGACTACGATAACAAATAAACAAAAAGGAATTTTTTCCCAATTTGCCCACTTGCACTTTTTACCCAATAAATAGCCCCAACTAAACACCTCTTCTCCATCGTCAAAAACTCATTGCCCTCTCTCCAAATACCAAAACTGAAACCAAAGAAAAAGGGCAGGAGATGCTGAAAATGTTGTCTGTTTTACGACGAAATCTCCAAAACTTTCGAAAAAGCCCTCGCGTGGCGGACGAAAGCGCCTTGCCTTCGCCTTCCACGGAGAGACGAAACGGCGTGATGAGGTTTCCGTTATCGATCATATCATGCTTCGCAGTTCCACGTGGCAGCAGAACAGATGGTGTGTGGGTGTCAGGAGATTACGGAAGGGTCTCTGAGGCTAACCATCTCATGGTTTGTGATGGCATGAGATACGCTCTCTTAATGTAATTATTATCCACTTTAAGTTGTCTCTATACTCTAGTTAGTAATAGATGGATGGATCTACCATTAATACCCATTTATTTTTGTTTCTTCTTGTGTTGATGGGGTTAATTTAGAACATCCACATTAGAGACATTTTGTAGGTGTTTTTAAATATAAAATTATTAAAAGTTGAGTAAAAGGAAGAAAAATAGTGTTTTTGGTTGAAATAATGGGGTGTATTGAAATATAAAATTAATAAAATTTGAGTAAAGAGAGGAGATAGTTGGTATTTTTGGAGAGAAAATGTCTCGTGGAAGACAAAGTTGGAGAGAGAATGGATGAAAGTTAGAGTGTGTTTAAATATAAAATTAATAAAAATTGAGTAAAATGATGAAAGAGAAGGTATAAAGTTGAGTAAAAGGAAGAGAGTGTTTTTAATATTTTTTTATTTAGAGACATCCACATTTTGTGTGCAATGTGGATGGCCTTAGTTGTATTAGGGAATCTAGTGAGATTATACAATGGGTTTCTGTCCATGAAGCTTGTGTTACCTTATTAAGAAGTTATCTTACATGTATAGCTAGGAATATTTACTCATCTGCTTTGATCTTATTTAAGAAACTACCCACGCTCATGTTTATTATACATAAGTACACAACTATAATTAACTTGGAGATTCTTGGAGTTGATCAAAAAAGTTTATTCAAAATCATCCAATAAATGATAGTGATTTATTTTACCAAAGAAATGGAATATTTATCATACAAAAAACGTTAGAATAATATCTCCATTAACAACCAAAAAACGTTAATTAGGGCACAAGTTTCAACTTTCAAGTTATGACAAATCAATAGTAATCCTCTAAACCACTATGTTATATGCCTGAGTCTTATGCTTTAGTAGTATTATATA